CGACCAGAGGACGGAGTTCTCTAGAATTCTAATGAGAAGTCGTGAAGGGTGGAGTTCCACCCGATGACATTGGTTGGTGCTAGTCGCGCTAAAATCACGAATTTTTCCCCAATGGCTGAATGGTATACGAGTTAGCCTACCTTGTAACTGGAAGGTCTTGGGTTCCAATTCTGTGGGTGGGTGGGTGCATACTGTCGATGAGTCTCAAACTTGACTGACGGAGCAGTTGGCTGTTCAGTACTCGAGTAGTGTGGCTCTCCAATGGTTCTGCTCTAACTAATGCCAATCCTTCATGGTCAGACTCGAAAAAACAAATCCTAAGGATTAATTGTTTATACCAGTGAAATTCATTTACTCTGTTTACTTACTTTATATTAAATAAAAATCAATATCTAAAGAATTAATTATTTTTACTAACTGGGTTTTTTTTATGTTATCGTTATGATTCAATTTCAAACACAAATTGATAATCTGTGTAACTGGTACGTAATTAACAAGTGAATGCTTGGAAAATTTGAAACAATAAGATAGGAGATTAGAGATTAAGTTAAAATCTACATAATAATTACACTTTTCAATTCGATACATTTCTTAGGCATCCAACCACCCAACCCCCCCTTATTAGCAAAATTTGTAATATGTCTTAGTCTTAATAGTTAGTTTACTAATCACTGCTCCAATGTATACTTTTGATATGAATCACATTTGTCAGCTGGTAAATTGTGGATATTGTATGGAGGATTTAATCATGAGCTGACATTAGTTAGAGAACCAATGGAAAACCTGGGAGTACTAGACAGCTGTTTAGTCCGTCCTAGTTTGGGACTCTTCAGCAGTACGCACCCACCGGGGTTCGAACCCAGGACCTTCTGGTTACAAGGCGAGCTAGCTCGTAGACCATTGAGCCACTGGGACCCGATCCAATGGTTCTTGAATTCTAACTTCTGCTGTCCAGTACTCCCAGGTTTTCCAGTGGTTCTCTAACTGATGTCAGCTCATGATTAAATCTTCCATACAATCAAACTAAATCCCTACAAAACCAACACTTGAAAATTGTGGATATGTGACTTATAGGTGCTAAATAACTTGACTTTCTAGTCAACACGTTCAAAGTTCAAGTTTGAACTCCATCTCCTTCAGACTGATTAACTCGACAATGTGTCTGTCTGTTTTCGACATAGAACTTTGCACATTTGTGCTGCAATTGAAGTCGCCACACTCCCTGTAGCACACAAAGCAACAGAAGAAAGTAGAAGAAATGTCTAATAGAGACAGCATACAGGGATATGAGACAAAGGAATAGTAATAACGAAGAACAATATAGTTTCATTTGAAATCATAGGTCATAAGGAGTGGATGCATCTGCGCCAGCCATTGAAAACGATTTTGAGCTATATCACCAATTGGCTGCAGCCGTCATTGGTTTTTACCGTCCCGATGACCCCAACAAGGAGGTCTACACCTTCCTACGTGGCTGGCTTAAACTAACTGTTGTGGATTTATTTCATTGACTGGTCCCATGTTTTGGTTTGACCGCCGCTAGTTCTTTTCCAGCCTGACCATATGTCTGCTAACATTGCCCATTGTCGAGGAAGGCGATCGATGACTAGGCATTAGTAACACATGTCCTAACCATCTCAGTCTGTGTAACTTCACAACCTCGTCGATTGATTTCCCCTGCTTACCTAGAACTCGACGCCTAACCTTAATATTGCTCACCTTATTACACCACTTCAGACGGGAAATAGAACGCAGGCACCTATGATCAAAGACAGCTAATCTTTTCATGTCTTCCACTCTCAATGGCCACGTCTCGCTCACAGCCATAAAGGAGGACGGAGCGGACTGATGCGCTGTACACCCGCCTTTTGGTCGATAGTCGGATATCACGTCCACTGAGCCAGAGACGGCGTAAACTGACATATACGAAACTAAGTGTTAGGTGGTGGTGTGGTGAGAGCAGGCCGTGACAAAATATGTACAAGGCTGATTCAACAACCAATCACAGCAGACTTAACGTGGCAAAATATGATTCGCAGATAGAGAACTCTATTTTCCGAGGAATTCCAAAACAACCAATCAGAAGACTCCGCTTGTCTACTTGCATAAGCTATAATAATGTATGTGAAATATATATAAATACGTGTTGATTTTCATAATAAAACGATCTGTTGCCTGGCCTTTGTCTTCTGTTGTTACAGTGGTATAATAGGGTGAGCAGTATTGAGGTTAAGCATCTGTCGAATGCTAGGTGAGTTGGAGGACGAATCAGTCGACGAGGTGGCTGTGAAACTAGATCGATTGAGCTGGTTACGGCACGTGTTACACATGCCTAACTGTCGCCTGCCTTCCTCGACAACAGGCAGTGTCAGCTGACATAGTGTCAGGTTGGAAAGGAGGGAATGGTAGTGGTGGTTAAACCAAAACATGACTTCATCAGTCTATCAAATCCACAACAGTTAGTTTAAGCCAGCCAGGTAGGGAGGGAGTTGTCGACTTCTTGGTTGGGGTCCTCAGGACGGTAAAAGACAAATGAAGTCTAGACACAGTTGGTGATATGGCTGGCGGAGATACATCCACTCCTTGTAATTTATAATACCCAATGAAACTATATTGTTCTTCGTTATTACTATTCCTTTTGTCGCATATCCCTGTCTTCTGTCTCTATTTTGAACTTTTAACTTTCTTTTCTTGCTTTGTGCGCTACATGGAGGGAGTGTGGCGACTTGAACTACTGCACATCGGTGCAAAGTTCTGTGTTGAAAACAGACAGATAATCCTACCGCACTATATATGCAGTTCAGTAATCACTTCATATATATGTTCGTTAAATTTCTGTCAACACTTGGCAATGAATACACAATGCAATCTTAACGGAGAATCAGACATGACATAAGGCGATTAGTTGTAAGATCTTTAAGTTCCCCACTAAACTTATTGGTTAGATTTAACTCTTAAAGTGTTATAAATCCATTTAATTCAATTTTAAACTTTCCCCGTCGATTGATTGGACTGAAGTGCTCGGTCTCAGGTTGACATGTCTATTGGCTTCTTGTGCAGATGCTTCGACGATGTCTGGGCATGTAGTTAGAAGTTACTTGGTGGATGGTGACTAGCAGTGAAATTCAGGATAAAGCACGTTTCGTCATATTCCGGACTGGCTCGTCAGCTGGACATACCTGCATTCAGCAGGGAGTCAGTGATCGTGTTTCCACCGAGGCTCAAATCCAGTGCCCATAGTTTCGAAAGCCAAAGCGTTATTCACTAGACTACTTGGGCCACGAGAGCCACCTCCTGTCCAACGGGTCATATTAATTATTTAATTCAAAATCTAAAATTGAATGAAATAATTAATATGACCCGTTGGACAGGAGGTGGCTCTCGTGGCCCAAGTAGTCTAGTGAATAACGCTTTGGCTTTCGAAACTATGGGCACTGGATTTGAGCCTCGGTGGAAACACGATCACTGACTCCCTGCTGAATGCAGGTATGTCCAGCTGATGAGCCAGTCCGGAATATGACGAAACGTGCTTTATCCTGAATTTCACTGCTAGTCACCATCCACCAAATAACTTCTGTTATATATCCACTTTATTTTTTATTACAGCTTGATTCCACATTGTATTTTTGGTACAAGTATGGAATTTTCAGCGTGTGATATCGGTAGCCCAAATTTTACAGGCCGACCATAGACATCGGGTGTGCGTGGGGAGGGGATCGAATCTCGGACCATGTGCATGGTCGGCGAGAGTCCTAACCACTGTGCCACCGATTGAGTCCTAGCAGATATTGTGGCGTGTACTACTGATAAGATTTATCAGTAGTATATAAATAGACGGTCATCACAGCCCACAAAAATAATATCAAATAGCAGGGAGATAGATTTGATGTCAGAGAAAGTTAATGATGCCAGTGTTGTAGAGATACATGGGGGATAGATGTGAAAAGAACACAAAGAAACGCACACACACAATATGAAAGAAGAGCAGAAAGAAGTAGCTCACCATGGAAGACCGGGTCTCTTATCTTCTACCGTTACAATATGAGCACTAGCTCTCAATTATTTTCGTTGTATGATATTTAATTTACTTAGAGACTTCCCAGCCTTATTCATATTTTTTAATAAAATTGTTTTCGAATTATTCAGCATTCTCGTCGATCCTATTGATGTATATTTGTGTAATTGAGAGGGGGGCAGGCCTTTTTACAGTTTCTCTGAAAGTATTAAAGTGTGTTAGCTAATAATAAATAAGTACAGTACAGTACAAGGAGCAACCTCCTTTTCCTACATACCTGGGAAGCATCGTTTCAACTACAAGCGGACAGAACTGATGAGGATATCAAAGCGCGAGGATCGGGAAAGCAAAGCAAGCTTTCGTTGCTCTCAAGTCTGTGTGGAGGTCAACAGCGCACTGCTCAGCATGAAAAATAAGATCCAGATTTTCAACTCCAATGTGAAGTCAGTGCCACTTACTATGCAGATCAGAGACTTGGCACCGCGTCTCAAAGGGCACTTCGAACAAACTACAGACCTTCATCAACAGCTGTCTTCGCACAATACTACTCAAGATCAAGTAGTCAGAAAAGATCAGCACTGGGGATCTCTTCCAATGAGCTAAACAATTCATCAGGAAGCAATTGTGTAGCAAATATGCAGGAAGAAATGAAGGTGGATTGGAGGCCATACTCTGAGAAAACCATCAAGTGGGTGATATCACACGCCAGGCCATTGCTCGAGTGGAACCTGAACGGAAGGAGGCGAGTTGATCGTCCGAGGGTGACATGTAGGAGGTCATGTAAAGAGGGGATGATATCATGAGGTGATACGTGGAGCCAGGTGATTAAAACGTTAGTGAAGAACCCCGAACACAATGGAGACGCGGGTCTGAATTCCTATGTTCCTTTAGGAATTAAAGGAAACAATAATAACATACAATGACTTATTTCTATTTACGTAGGGTTTTTGTTTTTACAATATCAACCCTTTTCTCTTCTGTCTAGCGTTATCTTAAACGTGTTCGTGAACGAAAAAGAAACTTAGACTTACAATTGTCACCAGTGGTTGTACAAACAACAACTGGTAGTATACTTGAGAGATTGAAATCAGACATGTTAGCGTCAATTGAATTGCCAAAAGATGGTTATTTCAACTATGCAACCTCTACTACTACTACTACTACTTCGAGTGACCATGATTCAAAGAAGCATCCCATTGACGATGAAGCGGGTCATGTCGATGATGGGGATAGTCATCATGATCTTAACAGACTGTAAGTTATCACCTTTTTTATTTTTCTTAACGATGAGGTAATGATGCTCACTAGTGACTGGCCCTATTTACGTACGTAAGTTACCTGAGTGGGTTCTAGTGGTTAGTCGTGACCTGTGGGTTACAGCAAGTGGTCGGGTGTAAGGACAAATACTCGCCAGCGATGACATTGGCTATTAGTCGTTTTAATCAATGGACCGACCATTAGATCGGGTCCCAGTGGTTTAATGGTCTACGGGAGGTTCTGTTTTCGAACACTGACAGTGGGGTGTATGTGCACCGCTGAAGAGTCGCGGACTAGGCTGACAAAACAGCTGAGTGTCTAGTAACTCCAATTCTAGTTTTCCAATGGTTCTCTAACTGATGTGTCAGTTCATGATGAAATCCTGAAACCGTTGGCAATACTCGATATATTAAGTTATATATATATATATATATATATATTCTAGAATAGTGATTGATGATAATATCGGTGTTTTGTTTAAATACTATTGATTTGTTAAGATCACAGTGGAATTACCACAGTTCACTAAAGATGCATAAATTATAATAAGCATAAAAATGTAATAGTAAATAGAATATCAAATAAAATTAAGGAAATCTGTAGAACAACAAACTAAGGCCCATTAAAACCTTGATGTCCAGGAGGATAAGGAAATTGTCTGAACCAACCAGCTCCTTCTTTTGGATCCATAGATTAGGCTTCTTAATTAAGGTGGATCCCAGCAGCGACCGTCAGCAATATGCTGTAGTAGATGAACTCTGAGGGTAAAGTTTACGCTTAGTTAGTATACGGTAGATGACTTTGAAAGCAGCCTTGTTTACGTCAATCTCGTGTTTTGTATCCACAAGATGAGATAGAATAGCTCTACGAATAGATTTTGTTTGTCCTTTACTTAACCATTTTGTAGGGCGATGTTCGGAAATCCAACGAGAAACACATCCAAGTGTATGAATTATGCAACTAACTGACTCACTCCACAGGAGCAGTCGAATTGATGGATACACAGCAAGAAGAGGTGAAATTAGGCAGTTTATCTTTAACTACTCCCGAATACAAAATAGGGGGTGGGTGATTTTGAACACACAGTGTAATTTAGCAGCAGCATTGAATGCTCTTTTTGCAGCATTTCTAAGGCGTTGTGTTAATATCTCGCTGATGTTATCCCCGAGGAACTGAATTTGCATGAATAAGGTCTTCCTTTTTCGGAATTGTTTATATCTTGGGCTGCTTTGACTTATATAATAACGCTATTCAAATGTGTATTAAAGGGATTAACTGTTTTCAAAGTTTAATTACCTCTTTTAATTGGTTTTAATCCTTCACCTGTCATAAAAATGAAGTAATAACGTAGATTTAAGAAAAAATCCCCATGAAATCATATAAAAACAAAAAAGAGGCTTCCAACGAGTAGTGGTACTTTTTCCAGAGATATCATTCTCTCGTGCTGTACTACAATCGAATTAGTTTGTGTAGGGATTTTATTTGTTTCTCAAGTTTGTTCACGGATTGACATCAGTCAGAGAACCATTGAAAACTAGCAAGGAGTATTGGATAGGTATTTCATCGTAATCCAGGTCTCTTTGGCAGTATGCACCTATCCTTCTGGGAGTGGTTGTATGCCACCATTCAGCCAATGGGACTCGACATCAAAATGGTCACTCCATCAATTCTAACTACGACCCATTCATGATTTTAGCACGACTGGCACTGGCTAGTTCAATGTCCTTGGTGGATATTTCTCCTCATACTCGACCGAGTAACCGCCGTCAGTCACGACTTCTTACTACAGAAATCAAGGCAACTTCGTCATCATGTAATATCAGACTAATTTTCCAGGGTTAGTTTGTGGGGATTTGAGTTGTTCCGAGTTCCATCATAGATGGATGTCAATTAGAGAACCAATGAAAACCAGGATGTTGAAGTTGTTTGTCCTTCATCTTGCATCTGACATGATTAAAATGTATATATCAAACACACAACTGAAACTTTGTTAAGAAAGCCCATAAGATTGGATTTTAAGTTGGATCACAAATTGACTTTAGTTGAAAAAGAAAAAAGAAATTGCAAATACTAGGGTGCACTGGATAGCTCTTTGATATGTATCCACATGATGTGTGTTTTGTTTTTGACTGTCTATTATATTTTGCTATGTGTATATGGATCGATATTCCATTATAACTGACAATATGCTTTTGTCTGTCCACTAACTAAATAAACATGTATGACCTTGTTATCACGTGACATTACAACCAATCATGTTAAGACTGGCTATTTATTGGTTCATGTGTATTAGCCATTTTCATATATACTTTTTTACTGTATTCTTGTTGACACGTTTCGTACACTTGTACCAATTCACTCACACACTAGTGGGACATTTATTTTCCTTGTCTGGAAAATACAAGTATCATCGTAAACCTGGTGGTCTTCTGATTTCCCTCTATCCGCGTGAGGACTATTAACTACTCGACGAGTACATAACACTCTTTCATCCGAATTTTAGACTCCTCATCAGTACACTCCCACGAGGGGTCAAAATTAGGACTTTCAGGTTACTTGATCAACCTCGTTGACCACTCAACCAATTGGGACTGGAATTCGAGGATCTGTGGAAAGTATCAAACTAGGGCAAATGAGCTGTGCAGTGCTTCCAGGTGTTTTTCAACGACCCTTCTAACAACTGAAACTATTCCTAAATCCCTACAAAATATTCCTCCACGTTCCCAGTGGTGAAAGATAGGGCTTCAATCTAGAACTCGGAAGTTTCTGTAGCAGTGAGATTTCTTGTTTTTACGAGATGGGGTTAACTGACCTCATATCCAACCTTCCCTCTTTACCAGTGTTATCACCGGCTTAGCGAGGTAAAAGAGGAGTGCGACTTCGGCTGGAGATCGAACCCCGAATCACATGAGGAGACATGATTGGTGAGTATTCTATCTCTTAACTACCATCGATTCCCACCCCTTACGAAATTACCCATTATCTAAATATATTTAATCATTCTTATTTCTGTCTATTTTATCCAACCTTTAGACTGCTAGCTGATCACTGTGCTGCAACCGACGAACGTTGTAAAACTCCCTCACACTTCGACGAAGAATCACAAGCAATGAATAGAGATTTTGGTTCTTCATCTACACGTATCTCTACTTCTTCTACTAAGCATATCATTGATAAAAATAGTAATAATAACACTCATCGTAATTGTAACTATCATCAAATGGAAACAATCCTGAGTAAATCGATTGATAAGTGTAGAGCACGTATAAAACTTTTGGACAGTTTACGCCAACTACGTTCAGCACGACTTACACAGGCTAAACAACAAGGTAAAAAGAAAGAAAAGAAATTTTGTTTAACCTTTGAGTTTTTTTTTGTGATTTTTAAATATTTTTGTAAAACATTTGAATTTAGACTTTTACTACTTGTGAGTAGTATATTACTATTTCACTCTTTTTTCAGCAATCACAGTTTTTCACATGGCTTTTCCATCGCTCATATGCTTTAATTTTCTCTTCTTCACATGATCTCCTCCTAGAGCCAATATTTCCTTTCGCATTCGGATCCCATTAGATAACTTGTCTTGTGTATATGATGTCATTCAGCGTACTCTTCAGTGAATGTCCGGTCCGTCTCTACATTTTTCGGGCGATAGGTTGTTAGTTGGTTCCTCCAGTCTGATGATCTGATCTCTATTGTGCATTGAAGACAGCCGTTGATGAAAGTTTGCAGTAACCTCCTCGTATTGCTTGTCATGATGTGTGTGGGGCCAAGTATCTCGGCTAATCATATATGGAGTCACTGACTTGACATTAGTATCAAAAATTTACATCTGCCTCCTTGTGTTGAGTACTGTAGTGTAGGTTTCCTCACTAATTTCAGGTTACTGAAGAAGGTCTGTCTTGCTATTTCGGTTCTGTCTTCAACATTCTTCTTTCGAGGACCTGCAAGCAGGCGAAAACCAACAAACTGGCTGAAGAAGCAGTGCAGAGAAGAAAGGACTGACTCCAGGTGAACATTGAGATGACAGGAGTGATGGAGATAACCAACCAACCAACCAGCCAACAGCAACAACAACAACCAGGACTAATCACCATCAACGGAAAGGAGAGATTTAACGGAGCTTACATCCTGGCTTCACTTATCTAGGCAGCCAAGAAGCCACCAGTCTTTCAACCACAGGCAGGCAGTTGGGCAGAACACATGAAGAAATCAAAGCTGGCCAGCCAGCCAGCCAACCAGAATCGGAAAAACAAGAGATACGCCTTCATCAACGTGAAACCAGTTCTAAAATCAGTTAGAGAACCATTGAAAACCAGGGAGTACTGGACAGCTGCTGTTTCATCCTAGTTTGGGAATCATCGGCAGTACGCACCCACTGGGATCCGAACCCAGGACCTTCCGGTTACAAGGCAAGCGAGCTCTTATACCATTCAGCCACTGGGACCCGATTCAATGGCTCGTGAATTCTAACTTCTACCAATTCGTGATTTAGCGCGACCCCAACCATTGTCGTTGGTGGGACATCCATCCACACACGTGACATCTATTTGGACCTCACTGGTCACGACTTCTCACTAGAACTCAGGAAACTCCAACCTGTAGCAAGTCACTAGCGAGCATCAGATTAACTTTCTATAGTTTTGGTTTGTAACGATTAGTTATGTTTTACGAGTTGATCACGGATTGATATCAGTTCTAGTGAGAAGTCGTGACCAGTGAGGTCCAATTAGATGTCACGTGTGTGGATGGATGTCCCACCAATGACAATGGTTGGGGTCGCGCTAAATCACGAATTGGTAGAAGTTAGAATTCACGAGCCATTGAATCGGGTCCCAGTGGCTGAATGGTGTAAGAGCTCGCTTGCCTTGTAACCGGAAGGTCCCGGGTTCGAATCCCAGTGGGTGCGTACTGATGATGATTCCCAAACTAGGATGAAACAGCAGCTGTCCAGTACTCCCTGGTTTTCAATGGTTCTCTAACTGATATCAATCCGTGATCAACCCGTAAAACATAACTAATCCTTACAAACCAAACTATAGAAAGTTTTAAAATCGTTTGCTTCACTCACTCACTCACTCAGCCGGTGAGTTTACCAGCATAAACAACAATATTTGGATTCTATGCAACACAAATGTCAAGTAAATCAGTCAGTCAGTCAGTCAGTGAGTTCTTCAATACGGGTGGGGAATGCGCATTGTGCATGAGTCAGTTACGAAAAGCATTCTCAACAGCTATTTAAGACTTTTATCGACAGCAGCCACCTTCACTGGCTCCATACTGAAGATTGAATGGCCAGAAAGAATTAGGAAGAAGAAACTCTGGCGAGGAATAAACCAATCATCGAAAAGCCGATTGATTGCTCAACAAATATGTAGAAGAAGGAGATAGATTGATCGGGCATACACCGGTCACTGAGGAGGCTATTGGTCTAATGATATCATGCGCGATTCAGTCCATTGCTCGAGTGGGATTCTGATGGGAAATCAGTGACGAATCGGTGGTCAGTGAGAGTTTGACATGGAATATATGGTGTAGAGGCGAGGAGGTGAGAGATTATGGGCAGTAATCGTGGGGTCAGCTAGCTGAAGAGAGTAGTACCAAATAGAAGAAAGTTGAGGTGTATTGCTTGAGCCCCTTATGTTCCATTCAGAACCCACAGGAGTAACAAATAATAATAATAACTTAACATCCTCCTATTGACAGTGATTATTTCTTGCTGTTCTTGGTTTTCGATTGTAGATCTTCCAGTGTGTGTGTGCGATATGCGAGAGAGACATAAATCATTATCCGCAAAATTCGAATCTTCTAAGCTGTTTTTCTCAGTTCGATGTATGGTCGTCTTCTTCATCTCGCCACTGTCTGTCGAATGATCCAGTGCATTACAATGATGAACATCATCTATAATAGTGTGCAGCGTAGTATATACATAAACAATAAAAATTCTGAAATATTTGCAAGTTATTCAGTAGTTTATAGGTTCCTTGTCTAGTCCTCCTATCTTTGATGCAGACTGAATTCTATCAGTCAGTCAGGTTTGCAATGTGGTCACCATGCCACTAGGTAGCTCACCATCATGGTGTACATTGATTTGATGTTATTAGATGATTGGAGGCAATCGGCCACAGGAAAGCCTTCAACACAACCTAGGTTTCCTGCTAGTTGGCTGGTTTATTTGCAACCTCGAAGGAACTGATATCCCTTCTGAGATTCAAATCTGCGTCACCCAGTGCCAGTGCCCCCCCTCATGACATCAATCCATGAAATCCTTGACAGTTAAACTGAGATCAGGTAGCGAGATGCAGACTTCCGGGTTGGGGCCCTCGGGACTCTAAGAATCAATGGCTGGAGACAATAGGTGACATGGCTCAAAATCGTTGTCAATGGCCAGCGCAGATGTATTCAGTCTCTGTAATCTTTCATATTCCTTTCTACCACTACCCATTCTGTTTCACTCTTATACTTGTGAAACTACTAATTCTCTCCACTCATCTTCTTGTCTACCTTTGTGTGGCATTTGGAACGTGGCAACTCGAGCTGGTGCACTTCAGTGCCAAGTTCTATGTTGATCCAGACAGACAGACATCAGGTGGTTATAATATTGTAGGGAAAACATCTGCATACGCTTTCAGGCATAATCTATGTAGTTTGACACAGAAAAATAAGATCCTGGAACATTTAAAGTGTATACTAACCTCTAAAGAAGGGATGACAGGAAACTAAGCACTGATCATAGAACTGAGGATAATCGGTCAGACTGCCTTATACTCCTCAAGGAACCGGTGTATAGTAGCAGTCTACTTGAACAAAAGGCACTGTTCGACCAGATGCAGTGGGCGAATTTGTGCAGCAAACTAGGGTTAAACATCGCGCTAGTAAATCTTTAAACACTGCATCGGTGGCGAGGCATCGAATCCCGAAACACGTGTGACATGGTTGGTGAACATTCTACCACTGCCACTGACGCACAACAATGACAATACCAGACTCCAATATTTGAATGATAGTAGAGAAAACATTATGAAATTAACGCATTCAATATATAAGCATTATTCAAGTGATGGTTGGTAGGAATTTGATTGGTTTCAGTATTTCATCATGAGCTGACATTAGTTAGAGAACCATTGGAAAACCTGGGAGTACTGGACAGTTGTTTCGTCCTAGTTTGGGACTCTTCATCAGTACGCACCCACCAGGATTCGAACCCAGGACCTTCCGGTTACAAGGTTACATGGTATACGAGCTCGCCTTGTAACCCGGAGGTCCTGGGTTCGAAACCCGTGTTGTGGGTGCGTACTGCTGAAGAGTCCCAAACTAGGACGAAACAGCTGTCCAGTACTCCAAGGTTTTCCAATGGTTCTCTAACTAGTGTCAGCTCATGATGAAATCGTGAAATATAAGCATTATAATTTTTAGATTAAATAACCTTCAACAAATATGCTTTCAAAAAGTGAAAAGGAAGGGAGACGACGACGTTTTCTATTGACTTTGATTTTAAACTTTCTGGTCACCTGATTTACTTTTTATTAGTCGGTATATTTCGTCTGTATGTTAATGTGTTTGTAAATTGCATTTTCGTTTGAGTACCAGGCTTCTAGGAATTCCCCGTCTAAGATTTCGACATTATCCCAATCAAATTGATGTCCATAATTGTCTATATGCGTTGATATGAAACAGGAATATATATCGTGTCTTTTCACGGCTGATTTGTGTTCTTGGATTTTGATTCGAAGGAGACGCCCACTTTGGCCGATGTACTGCTTGTTACAGTTCATACAATTTATTTTGTAAATGGTGTTAATTTTATCCCCTTTTTCTGTTGGTCTGATCTTTTGGTTTGCATAAGATCGAATTAAGCGATTCGACTGGTTTGTGTGCTATATCTATATCAAATGGTTTCAAATATTCTAGGCGTTATTTCAGAGATATTTTTGATGTATGGTAGGATGAATTTCATTTTGGTCTTTGATGATGGTTCTTTGTCGGTGTTTTGATTCGTCTTTAAACACTTTTTGATGAAATTTTTTGGATAACCATTCTTTATTTTGAAGACCGTTTGTAGGTGTTTTTCTTCCATTCTTTTCGATGCCAGAGTGCTACAGTGTGTTGTGTTTGAACTCTTTTAAACAATGTCTGCACACAGTTGAGTATTTGATCTGTGTATCGGCGTTGATTTTCCATATGACTTGTGTTTCTAAATTTCCTGTGTTTGATGACCAGAAAGTTTAAAATCCAAGTCAATAGAAAAATGGTCAATACACATATGTAAAGATGGTTACCGAGAGACGCAATTATTTCATTCATGAAGAAATTTAAATCATTTCACTTTATCCTAAATACTGCACTGAGGGGGGGATGTTGTCCAGAAGGGGTGGACAACGAAAGCTCCGCAACTAAACCAACCAACCAGCTCAGAGAACACTATTAATTTAAAAAATCATCCACCTGAGCTACAAATCTTCAACTCCTTTCATGCATTGACCAAAATATTAACAACTATTAATTTGATGACGACAACTCATCATTACTTTTGTTTGTTACTACCTTGTTTATGGAAAGAAAATAATAGTACAGTTGAAAAGGAAAATGATTTTGTACGTAAAGAGTCTCTCTCTTCACCGAAGTACATATCTGGTTTCTATGATTACTCATGTGCATACAATGTGCATAGAATATTGACAACAGTTGATTAACTATGGAGAAGAAAGTTACGTAATATAATGTACACTAGCTGATGACTAATCGCCTTGTTTTTTTTTAATATCATTTCGGTGGTTGAGGTGGATGGAGAAAGTTATTTGTTTATGTTATATACCCCCTCCCTTATTGTGAGTACACATTACTTGACATTTCGAATAAAATAAATTAGTCAGTAATCTTTCGGCTGACAACTTTCAGGTGATGTGTCACAGAGTTATAATCCTACCTAATTCAATCTAGGTACACGCGGCGGAAAAATGTGTATAAGCAGTCCATTGTCTTTATTTGCATTCCGAAGTAGCGTTGGTGTTGTTGTTGTTGTTGTTGTCTATCCTCGCATTGAACTTCCCCTCTTTTTGGGGTCCACCACGACCACCACCAGCAGCTGTTAAATCAAGTGAGGTTTAGGAGTGGCGTCAACAGGGAACTGAACTGAGGCCACATGAGCAAATGGTAAGCATTTCTACCATGTGGCATCATTGAAGCCATGACTTATATAGTCTAGCATACATGAAATCGATTTTAATCATCTGACTAGTTTATCGGTCAAGGGAAAGAGTAAAAAATCACTTACTGTTGACTGCGGGAACAGATATTCATAGGTGATAATGATTGATCGTGAAGTCGTCATATCGTCAACTGACAGAAGATAGTGATTTCATAGACCCATTGGATTTTCACTCATTAGTTGTTAAGTGATAACGTGGTCATCTCATAGACTAAAGATTATGAGCTCCATCCCTTGTGGTATTATGACTCTATATATATATATATATGTATATTGCTGAAGAGTCCCAAAATAGGGTGAAACAATTGTACACTCCTCCATAATCTACTAATCTACCCATGCCTTATTTTAAATGTGTTGTATCATGAAACTGTACGTTTTTCTATCTTAATTTCATTTTGTGGTATGAATTATGTATATGAATGTGCGTGTATTATTTTATTCAACCTCCAGGCGGTCTTTTTCCTCATCAAATCGATGAAGTATTCACCTTCAATATTAATGAATTGAAAAGTCTGCTATCTGATCAAATTCAAAGTCTAGAAACGACGCATACAAAAGTCAAGGTGAGTGAATGACTAATTAATTAATTCACTGACTGACTGACTGACTGACTGACTGACTGACTGACTGACTGACTGACTGACTGACTGACTGACTGACTGACTGACTGACTGACTGACTGACTGACTGACTGACTGACTGACTGACTGACTGACTGACTGACTGACTGACAGGTTACTCACTTAATAACTTATTTATTTAAATATTTATAATTTTTTTGAAGGATATACTTCGACATCAAGAAAATCTCAAATCGAAGAGCAATTATAATTCTCTTTCTCAATCTCAAGGTAACTGTTGTATCCATGTGCCGAATTTGCCAAAGCAATTACAAATCGAGCTATTTGGTAATCAGTGTATAAATAACATATCAGGTAAGTTGCGTAATAGTAATAAGTATTTATTATTTTGGGGGGGGTGGGTGGAACTAGGGGCGTTTTATGCTCGATACATGCTTTTAATATGTACTATTATTGCTACTTCCTTGGGTTCCGAGTGGAACACACCTATAGTTCGGTGAAGACGAGAGAAAATAGAGCAGAGTCTTCTGAACACTTTGAGCTGCAATCTACGAATGTTTGGCATGGGATTCGCTCCCCTTGTCAAATGTAAGATGATGTTACAGGACTGGACTCGTGTTAGGTGGGGTGGTATAATAGGGTGAGCAATATTGAGGTTAGGCATCTGTGAAGTGCGAGGCCTCCAAAGCCTCAGGATGGTCGGGGGTGGGTGCCTTGCGCTGCGGGTTGGCCACCCCTCAGTACACCTCTTGAAATGCTCCCATATGACCGGGCGTCTTACATAGCCTCTCCTGAAGAAGTCCTACTCACTGCCTTCACGTGGTGGGTGTTTTTCACCGAAGTGAAAGGGCAAAAGCGGATGCCCGGCGCTCTTCACCGGGTTGACTGCCCACTGGATGACAATCCAGGGGAGATGGCTAAACCCTGATTCCAAACCTCCAACGACTGGCGTATGAAGCTCACCGGCAGACGTATGGACAAAGGGCTTATTGGATGCCTTGGATGTTTGGCCCCATTCAAAAAGGCGTATGAACCGGACTCCGGTCACCGGCTGGCTGCCAATGGATAATGGACTCCCTACTCCACTCCTACTGCCTTGTAGGTCACACTTGGTTGTGTAAAGGCTAGAGCTGCACTCTGAAACAAAAGGCCGAGCGATCCTGGGGACATCACTCGTACCCAATTCCCATGAAACTTCGTGAGTTCATGAAGCCGGCTTATCCTCCCGTAGGAGATAGCCGAAGTAAAGTAACAGGACTGGACTAGACTACAGTAACTCCTAGTTTAGAAATAGGGAGTGAAGTGGTTGATGGAGCGTGTTGACCGCTTCACTTATTTGAGAAGTTGTATCAGCCAGCCAACGAGTTGATCGCTGACGAAATCTCAAAACGAATACAGAAGGCTCGTTTCGCCATCTCTGACATAGACCTGATATCTGGCTGGCTGGCTATCTAACGAAGGATGTGTGTCACTTCGCCCAGTCCTCCTTTACGGCTGTGAGACCTGGCGATTAAGTGTGGAAAACATGAAAAGCCTGGTTAGCTGGCTGTCTTTGATCATAGGTGCCTGCGTTCTATCTCCCGTGTTAGGTGGGGTGGTATAAATAGGGTGAGCAATATTGAGGTTAGGCATCTGTGAAGTGCGAGGTGAGTTGGAGGGGAAACCACTTGACGGGGTGGCTGTGAAGCTAGATCAATTGAGATGGTTGGAACATGCGTTACGTATGCCCTAGCAATCGCTTTGCTCGATGGGCAATGTTAGCTGACATAGTTTCAGTCTAGAAAGGAGCCAGTGGTAGTGGTGAGCAAACGAAAGCATGGCTTCATCAGTCAATGAAATAAATCTACAACAGTTATTTTAAGCCAGCCACGTAGGAAGGTGTAGACTTCCTGACTGGTTGGGGTCATCGGGACGGTAGAAACCAATGAAGGCTGAAGACAATTGGTGATATGGTTCGAAATCTTTTTTCAATGGCTGGTGCAGATGCATCCCCTCCTTGTGATTTATAATTTCCAATGAAATTATATTGTTCTTCAATATTACTATTCCTTTTGTCTCAAATCCGTGTCTGCTGTCCCTATTTTTTACATTTCTTCTACTTTCTTCTCTTGCTTTGTGTGCTACATGGAGGAAGTGTGGTGACTCGAAGTGCTAGACGTCTATGTAAAGTTCTATATTGAAGCCAGTCAGTCATTTTCTCCTGTCCTCTTCAGTTGGCTGGGCCCACGACTACTGCCCATAATGTCTCGTCTCCTCCTCCTCCTCCTCCTCACACCCACCACTCGTTGATTTCCATTCGGATTCCATTCGAGAGATGGTCTTTATTGCACGCAAGTCTGTCTGTTCAACTAACGGCCTCCTTGATCGCGTGTATGCCCAATCAATCCATCTCCATTTCCTTCTACATATTTGTTGAGCGGTTGGCTCTTCGTTGGTTGGTTTATTCATCGCCAGACTCTATTCTTGCTAATTCTTTCTGGCCATTTAATCTTCAGTATGGCGTCAACCAGCCATCCGGTGAAAGGGACAGCTGTTGATAGGTGTCTGCACTAGCCTGTTGGAAATGCTTTTCGTGATTGACAGACTGACGTGCAGTGCAAGTTTCTCACCCATATAGAAGAACACCTCTGTATCTCCTTACAATATTGATTTAATGATGTAATGCTCTTTGCTATTTTTTTTCTCTCTCTCTCTCTCCCTCTCATTGTTTAGGTATTCAACAACGTTGGCAACGTTTTTATCATCAAGCTGATTATAATTTTTGTGATTTTATACGAATTAGGTAAGTTAGGCTTATTTTGTAGTGAAGTCTAATAGGCACTATCGAACAGTGAAACGTGAATAGTTTATAATAGTAGTGTTATATATATATATATATATATATATATATATAATCTTTTGATTGGTTGGAGGATTTTATCATAAGCTGACATCAGTTAGAAAATCATTGGAAAACCAGCAGGGAGTACTGAACAGCCAGTTGTTTCGTCCTGGTTTGAGACTCTTCAACCGGTCAAACAAAATCCCTTTAAACCGATATTTATTATTTTTTTTTGATTACAACTTGATTCCACACACACTGTATTTTTGGTACAAGTGTATGGGATTTTTAGCATGGATGTCTGTAGCCCAAATTTTGCAGGCCGACCATAGATGTCAGGTGTGCGTCGTCAAGGGATCAAACCTCGAACCATGTGCATGGTTGGCGAGAGTCCTAACCACTCTGCCACCGACGCACAGAAAGGGATGATCTGAAGACCTCCGCACTAGCAAAACTACGCGTCCGATCGTCGCAGACTTCAACACGCTGAAGTGCAAAGGTGAGTCTCCACCTGGGGCCAGGGCATTCGTGATCACCCTGATCTGATGCTCACTAGCAACTGGCCCTATTGAGGAGGGCAGTTACCTGAGGTTTTAGTGGGGAGCCTTGTCCAGTAGGGTTAAGCAGGTCGGAGGTGAGGCTGTAACTTATCGAAGAAGATATTGCGAAGTGGTCGCTCTATGTCGTGCGTGAATTGGCAGAAGTTAGAATTCATGCACTGACTGGTCATTGGATTGGTGGGTCCCAGTGACTTAATGGTCTACTAGCTAGCCAACCAACCATACATATGGTCTGAGATTCGATTCTCTGCCAGTGCACTTTACTAGGTGATAGCAGTCACTCTTGAAAAGACGATTGGTTGAACTGGTAGTGTGGAGAGAGCTGGCTGCTAGCCAAAATCGGTAGACAGTAATTTACGTCCCCAATATTGGTCATGAGAAAAATAAGAACAAAGACTGACTCCACAAAGAATCACAGAAGAATTTGCGTAGATGGATACAGTTAGCATACAGATGATCTGAACTTCAAGAAACGGCCACAAAGAGATGAAAGATTAACGTTCAGTGAGAAAACTACCAATCAGAAGACTGTGTTTGTTTGCTTACAATAATCTGTAATAATGTACATGAAAATCTATAAATATCTGTTGATTTCGTAAATAAACTATCTGTTGCCTGGTCCTTGTCTTCTGTTGTTACAGTAGTAATCCGACTAGCAATTTCACCCGTCTAATTAACAACACCACTACCACTATGGAAGCTGCAACTTCAAAATTTGAACGCCAAGGAACAACTGAATGACTTCTAATAAATATTAACTTGTGCTCACTTTGTGATCATTATTTTGGTTTCCTTGGGTCCTGAGTGGAACAAAAGGTTTCAACAGGACATCTCCAGTGTATCCTATTGTCGGTGGTCATCTTAACCGTTGGTCCCACCAATTCGTGATGTACACCTCAACAGCCAGTCAGTATATCATCGACGAGTGTTTGTTTTGGCTAATCTAAAAAATGACGACGACGGAGTGCAAACGCACCAGTGACCTTGGGCGCATATGATTCATTGGATTACAGAACTTGCTGTCACTTTTTGTGTGCGTCGGTGGCACAGTGGTTAGGACTGTCGCCGACCATGCACATGGTCCGGGGTTCGAGCCCTCACCGACGCACACCTGATATCTATGGTCAGCCTGCGAATTTTGGGCTACCGATATCCATGCTGAAAATTCCATACTTGTACCAAAAATACAGTGTGGAATCAAGCTGTAAATCAAAAAAAAAAATTAAAAAAATTTTACAGCGCCAGAATGAACGTTCTGCGCAAATTGAAGTGTGAATTTCATCCTGCTGTAGTTTTTGAAATAATGGAGATATTGAATTAGTTATGTTCTTTGAGCTGAGTTGGTTGATGGTTTAATTGCGAAACTATTGTTGTCCCCTATCTAGACGACGCCCCTTCAGCACAGGTTTTAGCATAAAATAGACTTATTTAAATTCTCCATGAACGATGATGTAATTGTATCTCTTGGTAAGCACTGTCGCGACTGGTTGTTTAATTATTTACGTCTCTATTGATCATTTTTATTATCGACTTGAAATTCGAATGGAGGAAAAGTACCTAGTAATGGTTTCCAAAAAGAATGCATATCATAGTTTCATCAAAAAGCGTTTAAACTCGATTCATAACACCAACAACAAAAGCTAGCAACAAAGACTACAAGAACATTCATCCTACCATATATAGGAAAAAAATATCTCTGAAATAACAGGTAGAATATTGAGACCGTTTGAAATAGGTATAACACACAATCCAGTCAGTACAATTACTTCATTGAATGTTGTCTAGAGTGAAAGATCCAACAGAGAAAGAGTATAAAATTAATACCATGTACAAAATAACTTGCATACTCGTCGTGACGTAGTGCCAAGTCTGACGGCCTCCAATCCACCTTCATTTCTTCGTGCTCATTTGATGCAGAGTCGGTTCCTGGTTTGTTCGCCCCGAGAGATCCCTGTTGCTGGTCTTTTCTGGCCGGCCATCTGATCTTGAGTAGTACCGAGCGAAGACAGTTGTTGATGAAGGCCTGTAGTTTGTTCGAAATGCCCTTCGTGAAGCGGCGTTAAGTCTCTGATCTGCATAGTAAGTAACACTGACCTCACATTGGAGTTGAAAGTCCGGATCTTATTTTCATTTTCATGCTGAGTAGTGCTGTTGATCTCCATACAGACTTGAGAATAATGAAAGCCTGACTTGCTTTCCCGATCCTCGCTTTGATGCTATCCTCATCAGTTCCGCCCATCTGTAGCTGAAACGATGCTTCCCAGGTAGGTAGGTAGGTGAAGGAGTTTGCTTCTTTCATGTTCCTCCCATTTATGTTGATTATTGTCTGTTGGCGGTGTTGGCCAGTAATCTTCATCACCTCTGTTTTCTCTATGTTCACCTGAAGTTCTGTCTTCTCTGGATGCTTCTTCTGCCAACTTGTTGCTTTTCACTTGCATATCTTCCAGCTTGTGGGAAATCAGGCATATATCATCTCCGGCGAAGTTCAGATCCTCCATGTTTTTTGTGTGGGTCCATTTTATGCCTGTTTCCTCGCTGACTGTTGTCTGTCTGTCGCATTATCCAGTCTACCGCGATCAAGAAAATCATTGGAGATAGTAGACAGCCAGCCGGACAGCTTTGTCTTACTTTCCTCTTTACTTCGAAGGATTCTGTGAGTTTCCCGTTGTGAATCACTTGGCATGCAGCATTGTCATAAGGACAAATACTCGCCGATAACATAAATCGCCTTGTAATCTCAATACTCTAGGTTGGACCTCCCGTGGAGTCTTAAGTGTGTACTATCGACGAGTCCCAGAGCCAAAATAGCGTGAAACAGTTGATTAGTAGAAAGCGCAGTTTTCAAAACTGCTTCTCTAACTGATATCATCAATTTGTGGTGGTTTTTGTAAGTTGAATATTACTCATTCGTTGTTTACATATTGATTTACAATGATTGCATAATTTTCAGGTATTGGTTTTGTAGGGATTTTTTATTTGATTGCATGGAGAGTTTTATCATGAGCTGACATCAGTTAGAGAACCACTGGAAAACCAGCACTGGAGTACTGGACAACTGTTTCGTCAGCCTAGTTTGGGACTCTTCATCAGTACGCACTCACCCCACCAGGGTTCGAACCCAAGACCTTCTGATTACAAGACGAGCTCGCGGTATGTCGTGAATTGGCAGAAGGTAGAATTCATGGGGTGGCCATTGGATCGGGTCCCAGTGGGTCAATGGTCTACGAGCTCTCTGGCCTTGTAACCAGCGGGTCCTGGGTTCGAACCCAGGTGGGGTGGGTGCGTACTGACGAAGAGTCCCAAACTAGGGCGAGACAGCTGTTCAGGTTTTACAGTGGTTCTCTAAATGATATCAGCTCATGATGAAATCCTCCATGCGATTGCATAATTATCGATTAACTCTCTCTCTGCCTCCTTTTCTATCTCTGTGTATTTCTTTTCTTTTTTTGTTATTCTTATCATAACCACCATCCAGATATGCATGGGATAAATACTTGAAAATCGATACTAACACAAATGAGGCAAATGATGATTCTGACGTCAATAATATAAAGAATTATGAATTACCGAAAGAATGGATTTTACCCGAAATCAATAATGACGATAATGAGGAGGGGGAGGAGCATGGCATTGATAAAATGAAAGATACTCTCGCTAAAGATGATGATATCATCAGTATGAATAGTGGTCATCGTCAAAAAGATAAATGGAGTAAATATTTACGATCAATTCATTAATGTAAATAGTTATTCTACTTTATATATATAATCCACTCGCCATCTCTATTTTGTGTGTGTGTGTGCGCGCGCGCGTAGATCCGTTACGTAATTGTAAATAATATGTAATTTTGTGCTCATGTACACTAGTTCGATTTCTCTTTGAATTTATTTATTTATTTACGTGAATGTGCGGTTTTCCACCTTTGTGAAGAAAACACCTTCCATCTGACAGTGACTTCAGGTTTAGAGGACCATTGAAAACGAGAAGGTGTTTCATCAGCCTAGTTTGGGGCTACTGTTCATCAGTACGCAGTCAGGATTCCACTGCTAGGGACACCGACTTGAGGATTTTCATATAGATACCAAGTCGAGCTCGTTTACGATCCAGTCACTGAGGTGGCGTGGAATTCAGTGCAGCCAGCCCATGAAGAATTCTAATACCCGCTACAGTCCTACAGCGGGTCAATCGTGAGCCCGAATAGATCAGGGGTAACATCTCTAGCTGACGGGAGTTCAAGTCTCAGAAGGGACATGAGTTCCTTGAAGGCTGCAGATACGCCTGCCTTGCTGGCTACTGGTTGGTGAGTTCCAACCAACACGAAACCTAGGTGTTGTGTCGAAGGTTTCCTGTGGCCGATTGCTTCCAACTATCTAATATCAGCAAATTCTAACTTCTGCCAATTCGCAATGAAATCTGTGCTAAATTCTTGTGGGAATTTGTTACCAATGAGATCTGCCAAGTTGGTTTTTATGAAGACAAATACTCTCCGATCACGTTGTTGGCTGACGGCTGGCTAGTGGTGGTGGTTTTGCTATATATTATTGCGAATTGGTAGAAGTTTGAATTCATAGGCTGATTCGTTTCCAACCCAGTGAATGGATAGTCGATAGGCCCTACTCATGTTCGACACCTGATGAAGTCATGAATGTTGAACCGATGAAGAGTCACAAACAAGGACGAAACAGCCATACAGTATCTCCCAGTTTTCAGCAGTTCTCTATCTGAAACCATTTTCTCGTTAGAAATTTTTGAATTACTATTAGTATTATTATCATTGGTAATAATTGTTACTATTGCTAAAGTATCATGCAACTTTGTCTTATTTTCTGTTTGAATGAGTGTATAGATGGTTATTCAAAGGTTAATTTCTTCCTTATCTATTCTTTACTAGTGTTTCTTTTATGTTTAAATTTATACTACTTAATATTAATTAAGTAATACAAGCGCAGATTTCGTTTATCATCTCGCTACTGCCTATCAGCAGTTATTGATTTTCATTTTGAATTTTATCTCAGTTATTGTATATACCTTCTTTATATTCCATACCCTGTTGAACACTGGTTCTTTGAGTTTCTTTTTTTTAGTTCTTGACCTGTACATTCGCACGTTATTTATTTCTAATTGTGGATCACCTTTAACACACACTCACACATACACACAACGTGCTTTGCAGATTTTTCGTATCGGTGCTCATTTTGAGCAGTGCATCTGAGAGCACTGCACACTAGACTTTGTAAAAAACCAACGCATTCAGCTAATAAACATTTAGACTTTAATTCATCTCATCCATCCGTTGTCTATCTATGAAGGCAGGATTACTTAAGTGTCTGTCTAACAAACCGAGCAGTAGCACTAAGTACTGAAAGAAAAGACCTGAATGATGATGAAATAAAACAGACAAAACAAGAAGAAGCGTTGGTGTTAAATAACAAACTATCCTATAAAATTCATTAGAAAGATCAAAAAAGGTCAAAAACAAAAAATAATAATAATTGTGAAACTAATAATGATAACATAAATAAGAGAGAATATAAGGCATCTACTGTAGCTATACCGTGTAATGAGGGGACATCTGAGACCCTCCCTACGTAGGATTCTTAATAAAGCAGGAATTAGGTTGGTGGCATTTAACATTTAAACCTACAAACTCACTCAGGTAAGACAAGCTGTGTAGGTAGGATGAAGGACCCTGTAGATTGACCCAATTAGACAAAATAATATAATTTACAAAATACCTTGCAATAACTGTAAGTTGGGTGAACTATATAAGTCAAACTATTAGGTTGGGAGTAGTCAGCCTGTCGAAGCATAAGAATGTAATGTCTATGGTAAGAATGGTTAACCCCGCAAATACAGATGAGTAATTTAGAAAAAAAACTCAGTAATTGCACTGCATGCATTAACACAAAACCACACAACATGGTGGGAGAGCGTTAAAGTTTTAAAAAGTAATATAGGCGGTTGGAGAATGAGAGAGATTGATTACTGAATCCTTCTTCATCGAGTCCACAGCCAACACATACAGTCGAAATGACTCATCGCCAATAACACAGATATGCAAAATACTACTACCAATCAAATCAAACGATGAAAAATCATGAAATTATATAAACGAAGTTAGAAAGTTATGTGAATGTGTACCTACCGTGATATGATTATGAGCTGCAGTAATAAGTTGGGGTGCTTGAAACGTGGTCATCAGTAAATATTACTGTATAACACTGTGTGAGTCATTATCAAAAAAATAAGACTTTTACCCACAATGAAATTATGCTCTACCGCCACAGTGCAGCACAAGTCCTCTCCTTGTATCGATTTATTTGCAATTAGATTGTTAATAGATTATAGTCCGAAACATATTTGTGTATGTGTTAATATGTAAGATTGTACGTATAATACTAAATTGGACAGCAGTATTACAAAGCACGTGATTATAAATGATAGGGAATGTATAGTTATGCAGTGTGGAATCAAGCTGTAAATAAAAAATAAAAAAAAAGTTATAAATTCTCATGAGTCATGTTCATATTAAATCCTATTTATACCGAATAATAAACTTCAGATGGGTGAGTAATCATGTCAAGGTCGAGGTAGAAAAAATAGGGTAGTCGGTTAAGTGCGTTATACGTGTGCGTCAATGTTGTAAGTTAACGACTATATTTAAATAACAAAATGAAAGGTTAGTGAATGCAAGTGTAATGACAAGGAGTAGGAGAATTTCAATGTACAGGGTGGAGGGCCATATCAGAAAAGGTCGATGTGATAAGGTATTTGTGAATTTGAACAAAGCAAGAACTACAGTTTTAGCAGAATAAAGTCGTACCATCATTGTTTATTTCATTGCCATCTCGTCAACTGCCTACAGGGCAAAGACATTATTGAATATATCTACAAAAATAATTCTAACATACTTGCACAGAGTTAAGTTTAAACAAAAATCAATCGATCAATATACTCATACACTAAAAATATATACATATATAAATATGCAATATTAACCACCATTCCGAACAATAACAATCAAACACAATGGAAACTTTTAGCATTTCACATTCGAAGGAAAAAGAGGTGAAATTATCCAGTTACCAGGGCAAAGAAAGACTGATAACCGCTTCTTCCTGGACGCATAAATCAGGTTTCAGGCACTTGATGGAAATGGCTTCAGCAAACTTAAGGAGAATTGAGCTCTTTTGCCTATTGATAATTTTGAACGACTTTTCGACGTCCGCCTCATGACCCGTGTTGAGGAGATGCCTGGCGATGGCACTGTTTAAAGCATTTGTTCCCTTTAGACGTAAGCTTTTTGGTACATGTTCAGAAAATCGTAGATATGCCCTTCTTCTTTCTGTCCTGCCAATGTATGAAATATTTGGGAATTTGCACACTCCACAGCAGGCCAAGTTAGTAGTAATGGTTGGCTGGACCTGTTTCTTCTGTACACAGAGAACCGCTTGTTTTGGCGAATTGCAATTAATTTGGTACACGGATGATGATATAGAACGATTCTTCAATGCTGGCTTTGTGACCAGCCGGTTTGGACCAGGAGGTTTAATATCGAATTGCTGATGCTTCTAACTACATCTTTATTTAACCACACTGGTAGATGTTCCCCAGTGAGCACGTAAAATCAAGTTCCTAGAGCAATGGCCAATATAATATGCCCCACCGCAAGCGCAGTTGAACTGTTATTAAAGCATACCATGAATGTAAATTTTAAATTTTCTGGCACACTTTACAGATAAATGGACGGGTTGGCAATGGGCTCCCAGTTGGCTTCCATGTTAGCTTGATTGCAAATCGAAGTAAATTCGCTGTCCTTTGTATGTTTAGTATTTTGAAGGATTTGGAGATCTCGACAAAATGACCTGAGATATCCACAAGGTGTCTGAAATACAAACGTAGTCTGATGAAGTGCTTGATCCGCCACAGAGCAAGAAGGATCTGCTCGGATGAATGTCTTGATGAGGAACTTAATAATATTAAACGGTTGCTGAGAGAAAATGGTTATCCAGGAAAGGTAATGGATAAGAATATGAATCTAAAATCAAAGCAGCTCAAGGTACCAACAGTTCCTTATTCTTACAAATTTAGTTTCTTGTGGACAACATCAGCAAGATACTAACATAGTGCCTTAGAAATGCCGTAAAAAGAGCATTCCCTGCTGCTGAATTACGATGTATCTTCAAAACCAGACACCCCCTATTTCGCATTCGGCAGTAGTTAAAGAAAAACTGCCTAATTTCGCCTCTTTCATGTGTATCTACCAATTTAACTGCTCCTGTAGAGCCATTTAGTGGCATAGGGCGTACAGTTTCGCGTATTCCTCGTCGGATTTACGAACATCATCCTGCATAGTGGCTAAGTAAAGGTCAAACAAAATCTATTCGTAGCTATCTCTAATCTATCTCATCTTATGGATACAGGACTCAAGGTTGATGTTAACCAGGCGGCTTTCAAAGTCATTTACCGCATACCAGCAAATCTCAATTTCGCCTTAAGAGTTCGACTACTAAATATTGCTGAGGCTGGCTGTTGGGATCCACATTAAGAAGACTAATTTATGTGTCCAAAAGAAGCTGGTTGGTTCAGACATTATCATTACCTTGGCCATCTAGGTTCTAATGATCCTGAATTTTTGTGGAATTTTCATAATTTTAGTTGATACTCTATTTGCTACTATATCTCTATTATTATTATTATTATTATCATTATTATTATTATTTAAGCATCTTTAGTG